CCCCGTTCTTATAAAGTGCAGCTCCAGGGTATACCTCAGTATTTGGCACACGTTTGCCTGTTCGCATTTTCTTTTAATCGTTTTATCATACAGTCCTTTGACTTTAAACTGAGAGTAAATTTTTATTGATTTTAAACCCACAATTTTAATTATTAAACTATTTTTAAATAGTATTTTTAAAAATGTTATTAATAAATTCTGTATGAGAGGGCACTACCACACTGGGTATAATATTATACCAATATTTATTTATTATGCATTCAGGTAATTAGGTCTCAAGTCAAGTCGCAAGTCTCCGACTTCCAAGTCAAGTCTTGAACTCTTAGTTTTTGTTTAATGTCAACTCATGTCATCAGAACAACTTTAGTCGCTACAAGTCCATGTCCCCGTGTCCTTGGTAAAAGCTAACAAAAAGCCATCTTATCTTTTATCTGTCCTCTTAACGATGTCTTCAGAATTGCCGACTTTTTTTCTGAAGCTCATGTATTTGGCTCTGGAAGATACGTTTCTTGTCAGTTGTCACAGATGGTTGAGTTTATGTTCGAACGCGCAGATGGCATTCTGACATATGAGTCATGTTTAAGACTATGTGCAGCAGTATGGCGCTGCATTCATCATGGGCGCTGATGCAACGGCAAAGTCATCGGTACTGTTTTCCTCTAAACTTTCATCTTATCCCGGGGCTCCTCTCTTATTCCCTTAATAAGTCGATTCTTAAACCAGTGTGTGTCTCATGAGTGTAAGAGAAAAATCAGTGGTGATGAACCAATCTACCTGAAACACCCTTCTGGTTTGTCCTCATGTGTGTCCTTGTGTGTGTAAGAATTGACGTGCAGGCTGGTGTGTGTGTGTGTGTGTGTGTCCTTATTTGCCTCTCTCTCTCTTCTGCTGAGTCTGAGGCCATGTGGGTGCATTCTTTTGGATTGCTTCTCCAAACATTTCATTGGAACTCCCAGCAGCAGTCAGTGCACTGATTTCCCATTGGTCGATGCGAGTTGGATTTACGTAGGGAGTTGCATGAGAAAATGCCTACTTCACTTCTTTTTTTTTTTTTTATCTTAGCAGCCTTTTCATTAGAAGTCTTTTCTAGTGCTGTTAAACTATATCTTTCACTAACTGACCCGGCCCTAACAGCTACATGCACGTTGACCCAGGTGCCAGCCAAGACAAATCTCTTAACTTAGCAGACTTTATTCAAAGGACAGTACTTCTCCTCTCACAGAAAAGTACATATGGTACATATGGAAAATATAATGGGAAAATGCAGGCACGCTATGTAGCTCTGTAATTTGTTTTTTTTGTCATGTAATTCTCCCGCCTCCCCTGCAGAGGGAGCCAAAGCTAAATAGCTTAAACCTACAGTTTGGACTGTGTATTTGGGCTATATCAGTGGTAACTTTTTCTACTCTGTACCACCTGAAAAAACATTGAGCTCTTGAGTATCACCATGATGACCAACATTAGAATATAGCAGCGTAGGCCTTCACTATTAGCTCCCACCACACAGGAGAGATGTTTATATAGATATTAATGTTTAAATGTTGTATTAATTGTGCATGGTATGTTTCAGATTTATTCAATTGAAAATGTAAATGTGAAAATATGAATTTTCCCCGCGTACCACTAGAGAGCGCTCGTACCACAGTTTGAGAACCACTGGGCTATATAGATGCTATTGGTTATGCCTCACATGGTTACCAGTTTCCTCTACTCAAAAACTTTACTTTGAATTTAAAAATACTTGCTGAGTAGTGTCAGATATTAATTTGTTGGACTTGGGAAACCCACAGTCTGTGATACGCTGAGAGTTAGCTGCATGCTAAGCAGTAACAAAAAATATCTGGTAAACACTAAAGCTAAAACGTTCCATCAGTAAAAGCAAGTACCCTTTAGTTGGACTGGGCCTCACATTTGCAGGTGTTGTCGTGTTCATCCCCACAACTTTAAGAAGCTAAGGCTCTAATCAAAAGTTTTGTTTGGACAGTCAGATGCCATGAAGTCTGCAGCACCAGCGGGCAGTTGTGTTGCTCAGTCCTGTTTGGATTTGGCTTCATTGCTGGTGATGTTGGCCTCACAGTGTGGCCGGTCCCCGGAGACACTGTCTTTCTGCGCTCCATCATTTTGAAGGCCTAGCCCGCTGGACACAAATGCCTATTAGACAGCCCCATGACAATCCAGTGTGACATCCCTCCTTCATCCGTGTCTTTTTGTTTTCTTCTCGTCCGTGGTTTTACTTGAAAACCCCCTTCATCTCCCAGAGCTCGCAGTCACGACTTGTGCGCTAGAAAACAACAATCCTAAAAGTGGAATGCGGTTTGGCTGCCGGGGAGAGCCATGAATTTTACATATGCTCTGTGCCTTCACGCTTGACCACAGCTGATGATGATGTCTGAGTCGCAGGCGGTGTTTGTGTGTCCGAGTGACAAATTCACAGGATCAGTGTCACAGCCTGTCTGATTACAGGTATCCTGTCCCTCACCCTCTCTCGAAGCCCGGGCTTTCCTTTTTCGGACAGTTGCTGCAGACACCAGTGTTTGGGGCTTAGATAGAAGACGGATCGTATAGAGGTGGAAAAGGAGACAAGCCTTAATCACAGAGATGGA